TTGCCCATCTTGCGCATAAATAGAGCCATAGCTTCATCATCAATGTCACTAAGATCCTCATCATCACTTAATTCTTTCTTGGACTTGCCCTTGTTCTTGTATGATGATGAGCTTGCCTTGAATGCTATGCTTTTGTTCTTCTTGTCTTCTTCTTCTTCCTTCTTTTCTTCCTTGTCATCCCATTCCCTTTCCACATGGTATGTCTCTTGGGTCATGACATCACCTAGTACTTGGTTAGGGGTGATCTCCTTCAATCCTCCTCTTATGATTAGCAATCTCAACATTTCAAACCTTGGAGGTAGGCACATCAAGAATCGATGGGAGACATCATCATCCTTGATCTTCTCTCCCAATGCCTTCAAATCATTGACAATGACTTGCAAGCGATGGAACATCTCCGGAATGCTCTCATCATCCTTCATCTTGAAGCTTGTCAATTTATCCTTGAGGATATACAACTTGGCACTCTTCACCGCCGGTGTGCCCTCATATGTTTCCTCTAATCTTGTCCATACCTCATTAGCTCTCTCACAATCCTTGATTTGCTCAAACACCTTGGAGTCAATGGCATTGTATATGGTGTTGAGAGCCATTGTATTGCATTGCTTGTTGGTTCTATCTTGGTTGGTGGGATTGTCGAGATCAATGATGGCATAATCATTTTCGGTCACTTCCCATACTTGATCATTGATTGAACCAAGATACATTTTCATGTTTCTCTTCCAATAGTCATAGCTTGTGCCATCAAAGAACGGTGGTTTGCCCCCCACATGGTTGAACACAACTTGAGCCATAATTTGACACCGAGGTTGTTAAGCCTTTAATCAAACGGTGACCACGGCTCCGATACCACTTGAAAGGTCCTAATATGGCTAGAGGGGGGGTGAATAGCCTATTTAAAAATCTACAAATCAACTAGAGCAATTTGATTAGTATAACAAATAGCGTAATGCAAACTTGCTCTAGCTCTACAAGGGTTGCAAGCCACCTATCCGATAATTCTAGTAGTTAAGATCAATGGGCACACAATCTAAATGATCACTACTCACTAAGAGCTCTCACAAAAACTACACTAAAGAGCTCCACAAGATAAACTTCAAACACAAGGCAAGCTCTCAATTCTAACTACACTAAAGAGCTTGCTATATCTAGTTTGCGGAAATGTAAATGAGTAAGTGATACAATTATACCGCCGCGTAGAGGAGTGAACCAATCACAAGATGAAGATTAAGCCAATCACCGGGAGAATACAAATAGCAAGAGACAACCGATTTTCTCCCGAGGTTCACGTGCTTGCCAACACACTACGTCCCCTGTTGTGTCGACCAACACTTGGTGGTTCGGCGGCTAAGAGGTGTTTCACAAACCTCATCCACACGATAGGACACCGCAAGAACTTACCCACAAGTGAGGTAACTCAATGACACGAGCAATTTACTAGAGTTACCTTTCGGCACTCCGCCGGGGAAGGTACAACTCCCCTCACAATCATCGGAGACGGCCACGAACAATCACCAACTCGTACCGATCCTCCACCGCTGCACCAAGCCATCTAGGTGGTGGCAACCACCAAGAGTAACAAGCGGAATCCACAGCAAAACACGAATACCAAGTGCCTCTAGATGCAATCACTCAAGCAATGCACTTGGATTCAGTCCCAATCTCACAATAATGATGGATCAATGATGGAGATGAGTGGGAGTCCTTTGGCTAAGCTCACAAGGATGCTATGTCAATGAAAATGTGCAAGAGTTGGAGCTTCAACTGTCCATGGGGCTTAAATAGAAGTCCCCATGGAATAGAGCCGTTATACCCCTTCACTGGGCAAAACACGCTCTGACCGGACGCTCCGGTCATACTGACCGGACCCTGGACTCAGCGTCCGGTCCACTGATTTTTGCCATGTGTCACTCTAAGTTAAAACTGAACCGTCAGATCTCAACGGCTAAGTGTTGATCGGACGCTCCGGCCAAACCGACCGGACGCTGGAGCCTCAGCGTCCGGTCGAGTACAGTAAGGGTCCAAATCCATTTTTCTTCGATCGGACACGTCTGGTCCACCTCGACCGGACACAGCCAGCGTCCGGTGGTATACCCTAGCTACTGTACCGCCGAGTCAGCGCGATCGGACGCAGGCAGTCAGCGTCCGGTGCATTCAGATCCAGCGTCCGGTCACTTGACCGACGCCGGCATCTCCTCTGTCTTCTTCACCCTTGCTTAAATGTGCTAACCACCAAGTGTATCACCTTGTGCACATGTGTTAGCATATTTTCACAAACATTTTTAAGGGTGTTAGTGATCCACTAGATCCTAAATGCATATGCAATGAGTTAGAACATCTAGTGGCACTTTGACAACCGCATTTCGATATGAGTTCCGCTCCTCTTAATAGTACGGTTATCTATCCTAAATGTGATCACACTCTCTAAGTGTCTTGATCACCAAAACAAAATGGCTCCTACAATTTATACCTTTGCCTTGAGCCTTTTCTTTTTCTCTTTCTTCTTTTCCAAGATTGAGCACTTGATCATCAACACTCCATCACCATTGTCATGATCATCTTCATTGCTTCATCTCTTGAAGTAGTGCTACCTATCTCAAGATCACTTTGATAAATTAGGTTAGCACTTAGGGTTTCATCAATTAACCAAAACCAAACTAGAGCTTTCACCCTCGACTGGGGATGTGCCGAACCCCTGCTCACAGCTCTTCTCCAACTGGCGCAATCAGAGCCGACTGGGACCAACCGATCGGGTACGCCCGCTTGGTAGGGACTAGAAAACGGACGGAGAAAGTAAGGCAGGGCACTCAAGTCAACCGCAATACCAAGAACCATACCCTGTATACCTGCAAGACAGTACCCTGCGACCTTTCCAAGTAGTGTTGTAGGCGCCAACATTTTCCCTACAGTATTATGGGCGCCATCAACTCCCATACTAGGCAAACACGGTAAGGCTCCCACCACATGCCTCTGGGCATCAATAGTGTTGTGGGCGCCGGCATTTACCGTACCAGGCGAACATGGTAAAACCCCATGCATGCCTCTCGGCATCAATAGTATGGCGGGCACTGACGTCTGCCATACCAGAAGAAGACAACACAACCTCCCACATACATCTAACATTAACAGTGTTATGGGCGCCTACAATCATCTTTTACCCGACAGCGTGGGCAACAAGACTTGGCATACGTATACTCTCCCTCTCTCACTTGTAAGGCCATTCCCTTCATCTATAAAAGGGGATGCGCTCTCTCTCAACAGGTAGATCGATCAGTACACAACAACTCGAACAACACACACAACATCAGAACCTCTAGGTTCAAACCTCGAGCACACGCTCAAACACTTAGCGCATAGCGGAGCTCCCGTCACTCTCAGCCCTTCAGACCGGAGTCCGACTGGACCTCTTGTACCCCCCATCTTTCTCCCTTCCGTTTGTAACCCCACAGCAAACTTCGAGCACCTGGGCTTAGGAATAAAGTCACCGACCGACTTAAACTGGACGTAGGGCACGTTGCCTGAACTAGTATAAACCCTGTGTCATTAAGTGCTAGGCCACCTCCGATCACAATGTACAACAAAACTACAAATATTTACGTGTTGGTCACTTTCTGCACCGACATTAGGTGAGTAGCGTAGGTGTTTTGCGAAGTGCTTAGGTTGATTAGACCACCGCTTATGCGTTTGCTCTAGGTTTAGGCCAAGTGTTTAGTGAGGTTTGCACACCTCTTATCACTCGGTGCTTGCATGCACCATTGTTGTACATCGGAGGGGCTTATAGTCTTGCGATATCACACCAACCGCGTTTATGGTGTGGCCACCACCGTGTACCGAAGAGAACAAGGTCCACGGCGGTTCGGCCGAAAGCTTGATAGTGAAGACGGTGGGGAGCGGTCCGGGAGAGGCTTGTCGGAAGGCACACCGGAGACCCACTTGCACGTGAGGAAGGCCCGGGGCTATCCACGGAGTTACCCGACCGGGAGCTTGGCCCTTGCGAGGGGCTCCAACGAGGACTAGGGAGAAGCTTGCACGCTTCTCGATACTTCGATAAAATTACCGGAGTCGTCGACGGGAGTTTGCATATCTCTACCTTACTCTTTAGCTTCTGCATTTACATTGCAATCTTGGTTTGTGCTTTACTTTCCTAGCTTAGTGATAGGCTAGTTGATAGGTTTGGAACCTAGTTTGCATAACTCTTTTTTTACGGTAAAGATAGCAACACACTAGTAAAACCGTAGTTTCACATTTAGATAGTTTACTTTCCTGCATATATTTTGACTAGGTGAAATTAGAGGCCTTTGTAAGAAGTAGAATTTTAAGTTGTCTAATTCATCCCGCTCTTAGGTGTCACGGTCCCTTACAGCCCGGACGGTTGCCCCGGCGACTGCGCGCGCGGCCGCCCTCCCCGCATGCATCTCCCTGGGGTCGGGGGCAGACTCGACCTCCACGCGCTGAGGTCCGCTGGTGTCAGATGGGAGCCAGGAGAAGCTCCATTTTTTAGCTCCACCTGACACACTGTGTCTGTGAACGCGTTTTGCAGAGCTCCATGGGTGAATCAACTGAGGAAAGTGGTGTTTGACAGCAAGAGCTGAAAAATGGCTCCAGGAGCCGCCTGTGAATACATACCAAACGGCCCCTAATAATGTGCTCATTACACAATACAGTTGGACTGGATGAAGCATGCATCTGAGTAAGCCAATGACAAGGAAACACGCTGTTGGACTGGCAGCGTATGAGCCATGGAGCACACACACGGTGTTGGACTGGCAGCGCATGAGCGATGGATGCACTGAAACGGCGTGCCAGTCTTATCGGATCAAGTCCACCCATAGTTCAACAAACTTTAATTTGTTTTGTTCGTTACAAGACAACCCATACATAACCAGTGTACCATTTCTCTAATATAATAACAGCAATCCAAGCATCGTACCACCGCAATGGTATACAAATTACACGATACAGTGTCAGTCAAGCAACCAGCTCCAAAGCCTTGTTGCTTGTTACTCGGCGCCATCCACTGAATGCCTGCAATGGCACACCATACGTTCATCACACGGTGTTCTCGGACAAAAGAAATTGCATTGGACACACATTATGATGGAGGGGCGATTAATCAATCGATCCCCACCTACCTCCAAGATGTTGGCAGATTCTGAGATTTCCGGTCTAACTGGACACTTTCTAGAGCAGCCGATGCCCGCAGCACCTCTTCAGATATATCATCGGCATCGTATCTCCAGTTGTACTCATCTTTCCTTGTGTCATTGGAAGCTGAAGATCCCCCTCTGCGATCTGAAAGTACACGTACCAAGGCCACTTGTTTCAGAATTTGGAACAACACAGCTACATACATCATCATAAACTGGAAAGATTGCACAGCAGTGCAGAGACCTGATGCCTGCGACGAAGAGATTGGCCTGGCAATTTCAAAGTAATATATGTCACACTCACATCCAAACATCTAATGCCAAAACAAATAGATGTGCATAATTACAGAGGCACAGCAGTATGGCATCATGCTTACCTCCCCATAGGAGGCAGGCTCCCAACTGACGCTGATGGTGGCCTCCTCATGCTCTGATGTTCAGCATTCAGTGATGGATCAGACTCTGAACTCATCATCCTCCTGCCGCCCATCCTTGTTTGAGACAGATTCTGTCCAAAACAACATATTTAGATGACCAAAGCATGCTGTAGAAAACCAAAACTTTTAAGCTAGCGCATACAAACTATATTTGGAGGTTAACAATTAAAAACTTCTTATTAATAAAGTACAATACGCAAATCAACTTTACTTGTTCAAGGGCAGTGAAAGCCAAGCTGGACAAAAAAATCAAAATCAAAATTTGTGTGCGCAGTCAACTAAATGTTATATAGGCAGAAAGCAGCATAAATGCAGCTCATACCCCAAGCACCGCAGACTAACAAAAGGAGACCTTGAGTACAGGCCTTGCATCAATAAGTTGACAATTGAAAAATCACATGCAAGCAGATCTCAGTACAATAATGATAATGCATTGTAAATATAAATCCCATGCATGCAGTGTAAGACAACTGACCAAACTCAGAAAAGAGTATATCAATTTTTATCCATTCTGGTTATTCTAAGAATCTTTGTCTACATTCTCCAAATGTTTCAGCTTTCTAGAAAGTTTACAAATAGTGAAGATGTGCTTGATCTTGACAAACCTATCTCCTTAAGCTTCCAGAATAACAACACCTACCTTTTGTTCTAAGGCAGCACCATGATGAGTATTATAGTTGTGGCAAGCAATCTATTTTTTCGGACAGTTTGATTAAGCAAGACACCAATAATATGAAGGATTATTGCTCACAACTCAATATACTACCTTTTCTACATACCGATGCATAAGAGGATCCATACTAGTGTAACAAATAGACATTTAGTTGCAGAGTTCTCATAAGACTAATACCTGGCTAAAATGAACGTGGGGCAAATAGTGGTCTAGTACCTAAAACAGATATAGCGGCAGCTAATAGCCAGAGATTTGTGACCTTGATCCATACAGGACTACATAGTTTTGTAGGGAAAAAAGAATTGGGTACATTACCCCAAACACATTTTTTTCCTTTACTGGGGAAGATAAAGAAACAAAAGGATGATTCTTGCTTCTGCTAATGGTAATGCGAGAGATAAACCTCACATTTCAGGTAACCTTCAAGAACATCTAAAAGCATTGGACCACTTTCAGCACTCCTGCTCCCCTCAGCACCACTTTTGTTAGAAAAGTCTTTCAGTTCATTCTTCCAGAAGTCCTTGTGCTGATTTACAAACAAAACGGGGAAACACTAAGGATGTTGATTCCTGAAATGCAAAAACGAAATATCAGGAACAGCCACCACTTACCAGGTTACACTCTGGCAAGTAAACTTTCATTGTGTGACTTAGTTGAGCCCACTCCAAGTATTCACATACAAGTGCAGTTAGTAACCAACCTGCAAGCAACAGAAATCTTATAATGTAAAGCCATTCCATGTTATGTGCAGCTTGCAAAATACATGGCTAAACTTAGTACTGAAAATAATTTTAAGGCCGCACAACAACCTTAAACAATTGAGCAACAGAAATCCTATAATGTAAAGCCATTCTGTGTTATGTGCAGCTTGCAAAATACATGGCTAAACTTAGTACTGAAAATCATTTTAAGGCCTCACAATAACCTTAAACATTTGAGATCTCTTTGACCGGCTTAAAAAAAATACATTATGGAAATGCTTCTTTGAATTATCACCAGTGCAGAAGAATTCAATCCAAAGACTCACGTTAGTCATCAATCCAAAAAAAATGGCATGTCTTCCAATGCACTTTGAATTGTCAGCATAGAGAACATACAAGTGTTCCATTCTTGAATGTATGCTTGGCTGAAACCACCGCACTGTAAGAGAAATCATCTCCTGGAGGAGGCAACACAGTGCCTGTACGTCTTTGTGAAACACTAGATGCCATCTGGGGGACTCTAGTCCTGACAGGAAAGTAGAAGAGTGAATGAAAAGTAGAATTTGAAACTATCAAAATTTGTAAATAAATCCACAGAGAACACCAACAGCTTATACATAGTAAGACTTTGCTTGTATAGCTTCAAGGGACTAGCTATTATATCCAAAAGTGGAAAATAAATGGAGTTTTCAAAAAGGCAATGTGAGTACAAGTAGTTTAGACAGAGAAGGAAAGTGATAGCCAGGACTAGCACATGACTTGGGGCTACAATGAATAAGGAAGCAGAACCAGAAACTAAGGTTCCACAACATGTGTTAAAATAGCTCAGTACTACCTCGTATATGCCGAGATGATCTCATCTTTAGTAAAACTATCCTCCTGACTGCCTACATCATGCAAATAGAGACAATCTGGATTCCCACATGTCTGAGAAAAGACAAGAAATATTCAGGATAAGTGCATTGGGTAGTAGAGTAAGTAAATGAAGACATCAGAACGAAGCAACAACTGTACCATGTTTCGCAGCCATGCATGGCAATACTTCGTAGTACCAAAGCATGCCCTGCAACAGCCAACAACCATTTGAGTTACAATGTTGCGTAAAACTTAAAGACGAGAACAAAGTATAGAAACTCACCTCAACACTTTCCCTTCCAAGACAAAATTGTGTACAGCTTGAATACACCGGATGGCCTCTTCTTCTTTAGCATAAGTAATATACCTGTACGTATTTGATAAGAATTAGTCATTGCTTAAGCAAGAGCAGAAATTCTATCTAACTCTTACACAAACAAAACACACCCTACCATCACAAATAAGACGTCCACCGTCATTATTGTGTACCTTTGACTGCTAGTTCCATTGCTTGCAATAATTACAAAGTACAGAAATATCATAACATTATGCAAGTACTATTCGAGACAGATATGCTGATATCATTTTCACATATTCAATCTAACTATGTCAAGAGGTGTTGATGATCAATGTTGAAATACTTTTACTGCACACAGCGCAAAAGGTCGCTTATCTGTGACTCAAGGGAATAACTTGTTGCAACAACATGCAAATAACACTAATGGTTCTTAAACAGTTTAGGACCATGATTACTAGATCCTCAACAAATCAGTAGGTAGCATAATCTCTTCAGAAAAGAAAAAAAATTATTGTATGTAACAGCATGTATGTATAAGGATAGCTAAACCAAGAAGTCACAGCAACAAATCAATACATGCAAGAATAAGATGAGGAACAGTTTGTGTTCTAGAAGACCAGAACCCAATTTCACATGTTCTTTAACAAAGATACCACTCAAATACAATCCATATTAGACATGTTGCAAGCATGCACATTTGATACACAGAAATTTCTACACTAGAAAAAAAAATAGGCACCCTAACTCCATTTTGGTTAATGCTTTAATGACAATCCCTAACTCAATTCTGTTAATGATAAATAATACATGTTTCCATCACAACACAGTTTCATAATACATCCAGACACTATCTTGGGATTTCCAAGAAAAATCACCCAGAAACTAAAAAAACACATCCCAGGAGAACAATATAAAGTACCCAAACCAAGAAAATAAGGAATTTCATTAAGAGATGAATTTCATCTATATCTGCACATGCAGGATTAAGATCTGAGCTTAGCCCAGAAACAGATACCTTGCATATATCTGATTCTTTGAATTTCACGCCAATAATACAATTATACAATACATATCCTAATGTTGGCAATGAGGACACAAATGTTACTTTCAAGTCAGGCTGACTTTCAAGCACGGCTATGCAAATCGAGAGGCTGCAGAGCAGTTCAAATTAAACTTAAATGACTGAACTACTTGCAAGGATATGGACATAATTATCACATTTTCACCAAGTTCACTGGAAAACCACATAACAAGATTGAAGTCTGAATTTACATTTTTTATAATACCAATGGTCTGGCATTGCAAGGAAGCATTAGAAACTTGAAACATGCAATTGCGTACAAGCAATATTTGATATACCATCAGACTAATTGAACAATACTGAAAGTAGAAATCTAACTGCATATAAAGTATGAACAGATCATGCATGTATAGCGTACGGTTCAGAGAGACATACACACTAATATTGCTGTTTGCTGATGCCTGAGAGGGAGGCCCAGTCGGACGGGAAACTGAAACCTTCAAAACTTTCCCATATTGACCAAAGTATTCCCTGCGCTCAAGTACCTAAACAAGAAATAATAGTAGAGTTGGTATGAGAAGTAAAACTTAACATATCACACACAACTTGGACAAATATGGATGTGAACTCACGCTCTCGTTGCATAAATGCGCAGGTAGCCCAATTATATACACCAGATTTCTCTGGATAACCCTGACAATAGCCAGATGCTTCTTAGATTCTACGGTTGACATTGCTGTTGGTGGTGGCGCTGCCTTTGGCTTAACCTTTTGGGTCTTGTGCTTCTTCTCTGCATTTTTCTCAGCCACCGTCCTGCTTCCATCATCAATCTAAAGGTAAGTTTGAGATACGTAGTGGGGCAAGGTCAACTTTCACAAATGGCTCTACCTATTCCTATTTCCCATGATATATAAAAGGGTAATCAATCGCAAATGTTACAACAGAAATTGATCGGTAAGAAGAAAACCATTGCGACGGACCTATCACAAGTGGCAGCCATCCTGACAATCCTGTCCTTGTCATAGCATGTGCGGCATGCAGGGCAGCGGCCCTCTGTTTCCTCCTTCTCAGCCATGTCTATGATGTGGTGCCAGCACCAAACACAAATCTGCAGAATTAAGTGGTAGTTATTAGATGATGGTGCAGAGCACGGGCAAGGCGGGCTGCAATGTGATTGATATGATAGGATAGGATAGGAGGATGATGGTAGACATACATCGTAGCCGCATTTGCATGGCTAGCACGGGATGTGTGATGTGAAGAGTTGGGTCATGGTTAGCAAATC